TTTTTTTTTTTTTTTTGTATCTATTTTTGTTTGGTTACAATTTACAAAATTAAAAACATTTACGTAGTCAAGTTTCAGTTTAACGATAATGAAAATTTTCTTAAACATGTACTGAGCTAATATCACTTGTTGAAAATTATATTTGTTTAGATTCAAATGGAAAATTAGGACAATTAAAAGCAACAAGTCACTTATTAATTGATTTCTAAATAATTAAAGTAATTAATCTTATGTATCAATCAAATAAAATAAATAAAGATCAAAAGTAATAAAGAACACAAAATATGATAACGGAGGAAAATTCCTAACATCCAGACAAACTTGTCAATAAAATTCACTAGAAAAGTAAACTTATAAATAGTTTAGACACTGTAAAACACTACATGACTCTGGCTACATAACTTGTAAATTACCAATGAACTCCTTCAGTTGTGCACTCCTGCACTTTCCATAACTGTGGGCCACTTTTCTATCCTCATGGATCAACACGAATGAACCTCGTCTTTGAGCGTAGAACTCCAACATCGTATTAAACAATAGTCTAGATATCAGTATATCATAGTTCCTATTAAATGGGTCGTAATTTCCTTTATTTAATTGAACATATAATTCAATATAACTAGTGCTAGCATCTAGACTGATAATAAACATTAGCGATGTTGAATAACGTTACTTTAAAAATTAAGGCAGAAGACTTGTTCGTCACTTTGGAAACAAAAAAAAAACATGCTCACGCTCACGCACAAAAATAGTGATAATACTTAGAATATGTCTAAAGTCCTCCATTGGTCCCAGACACAATTGATTATGGCTATAATATTACTTAGAGTGCGTATGATTTAGATTTTTTAAGAATGAAATTCGTGAAGAGTGATATATTGGGAGAACATGTAGTTAAAAAATAGAAAAAAAAATTATAGATTCATGTACAGAATTATTTTATTGAGAAGATGTGTGATTGAAAATAAATTTTAAAGATCTCAAAAAAATACAGAAGTTCGGATTTTGAAGAGAGAAAAAGAAGTATAAAAATATGGAATTCTGCTGCATGTACAGTCCTTAATGGACTGTACATTGTACAGCCCACACTGATTAGTGTGGGCCCCACTGATTAATTAATCAGTGGAGCCCACACTAATCAGTGTGGGCTGTACAATGTACAGTCCATTAATGACTGTACAAGGAGGGAAATTCTAAAATATGTGAGTGAATAATGAACGATACATTGTATATGAGCCACATGTTGGTTTACGTGCAAAGAGTAAAAACGTATTACGTGCACATTACACTTTTTTGCACAATAATAATTACAATACTTGGTCAAATATAATGTTGGTCAACAAGATCACTAATATCCTCCCTCGAGCTTCGCTAGGGTGGACCAGTAAGCTTGGCACGAAAAGTGTTGCAAGTTTCACATTAATAAGAGGCTTAGTTAAGATATTCGCAACTTGATCTTCAGCAGGTACATAACTTACTTCCAAGTCCTATGTGAAAATATTTTTTTTACGTAAAATATGAATACGCTTGATTATTTGATGGAAATCAGGATTAGTAACTAATGAACCTGCAACGACGTGATCATACTATATTACGGATAATAGATTAAAGACATGCAATTCACTAAAAATATTTTTTGTAACTTAATTTTTGACTTCACAATGAAAAATGTTTTGACTTCGTCATTGAGAGTCTGCAATGAACTCAACTTTTTGAATCTTTAAGGTGGTAGAGTTTGAGTGATGCTACAGGTACATCAGAGGCTACATAAGGGTGTCCATAATGGACACCCGACGCCTCATTGGAGGGATGGTTGGTGGGGTCGGCACTCCATCCAATGGGAGGGGGTCGGGTGTCCATGATGGACACCCTTATGTAGCACTTGATGTACAAGAAGAATAACTCATAGGGTTTTCCTTTTTTTTTTTCATGGTTTCGGTGTTACTAAGGATATGTAGGACAAAGCGGCGTTTGGTAGTTTATGGGAATTGGTTAAATAGGGCTTCACGGACCCGGGTGAGAAGTTAGAGACTTAGAGCACATTTGGTTTAACATAACAGCTACGTTCTACAATAATTTTAACATGTAAATAACAAAGAATAGTATTTTTTTAAATTTTTATTGTATTTTGATTAAGCACTCCATCTTTGGACCGACAAAATTACTATAGTCATTTAGAATAGGGTTGGACAACATCTCTCAATTTCACTAGAGATCGATCCTAATCGGCTGAGTTTCATCCTCAATTCATTCCAAAAACGGCATGTTCATCCTTACCGAAAAATAGGATGTCTACCCAAAGATTTGTTAACTAATTATTTTGGTGTTCTCATCACAAGCTAAAAACTCAATTAGTGACCAAACTTATAGCTTTGTTTCACTTTGGTCACCGTATTTTTTAAAACACTCTCTCTGTCTCTTCCATTTGGAATGGTTATTGCTATCAGTCTTGTAAGGTTAGTTGGAAAATAAATTTTTAACGTTTCCATAATTCAATCATTCTCGTAAGATTAAAAGGCTACTTTATCAAAATTAATGTTCAGTTGAGGATATAGTTTAGTAATTTTATAGTGATGATGATAACAAACTATTATGGAGCAAGAATTGTGGTATGAAAATTGTTATGAATTGTGAGGATGACGAAAACATTGTATGAGTAAAAAAATTGTTATTAACCAACCAATATACTAGAATCGCTCTGATACCACTTTGTTGAGAATCGAGCCAAATAATTAAAGATGAGAATAATTTGAGCAATGTGAAAAATAATGAACCATACAACAATTAAGATTTTTGTGGAAGAAAATAAGAATTTATTAGAAACTAAAATTGTCTTTAAAAAATTTGATTTTCTCAATCTAAATCTAAACAATTCTCTTAAATTTCTAATATATACAACAATGATCTAATTGTTATCCTTTTTTTTTTTTTTTTTCTCTTTTTGTCTATGAAAAGCCAACACCATGTGGAGTATATATAGAAGCTAAATCTTGGAGCTATGGATAAAATAGAACACAAAAACCGTATCAAAAACCAACTAGGAGTCAATTTGTCCTTTCGCTGTTGCTGTTTTGCACTCCCTGCGCCACGCGCCGTGTCTCGACGCCTCAATGCTCAGTTCTGTCCCAATGCATCAAAAACACTTCCAAACATGTTTTCATCCATTCCAAAGTCCATATCCCATAAAAATCTCAATAATTTGATCTTTTTTCAATTCAGACTTCTAAACCAACATTATCTAAGTTTCCTTCATGAATCAAACTTCCAAATGAAATGGAATTTTGAGTCACGAACATAACCATTTTCAACTAATATATTCTTCTTGTCATGTACACTAAGCAGAGTTCTAGCCAAAAATTCATTAGAATGTTGAAGAGACTAAAACATTAAATAAAATCTCGGATAAAAAGGATATCCTGATCTTATTTCATGAATATTACCTAATCACAACCTGTTTTTCTCCATACCATGAAATCCTGAATTGTACAATATACATAATTGGACGAATCGATACAAAGACTACTTATGGACGCTAATGTCAAAATATACAAACAAGTGTAAGATGCTGTAAATCTAATTTATACATCTCTACAAACTTCTCATCGCGAAACCTCTATGCACATATATGTACAGCACCACAAGAGTCACACGCAAGCAATCAAATGATACGCCGGAAAATTTTAGACATGATTACGATTTTCTATCTTCGGATGGACTAGTTTGTGCCAATGAATGAGCAGTACTAAAACCAACAGTTATGGGACTTATAGAACTCCGTCTCACCAAATTAGAATTCTCGGAGTCCTCTGATTGAAGGTCGTGTCTTAGCCACTGTATCATTTCATGGTACATTGGGAAGAATCTCATCTGAATAGAGGTGTATGCAAAGTACGGTGTTAGGGCCGATATAACCCCAAAGATTGTGACTACATAGAAAGAGGGTGATGGGGCAAGAGATTCGACAAAAACTCGGTATGCAGTTGTGGAAATGCTAGCAGGCATAGTCCCATATGCCAAGAGGAAAAGATACCATAAAGCAATTCCACCCCAGATAACAATATGCTGAATTATGGTGAAGTAACTGATGGCAAGTGCCATCTGACAGTTCACAACCCACACGACACAGGTGTACATTGTCGCACCTAAAATTTGGTACTCGGCGAGTTTCCCATCCTTATTGAAGGACTGTGGATTTAGTGCCTTTATACAGAAGAAGAAGATAATGACAGCACTGCAGTGTCCATTTAACATCCAGCCAATAATACGGCGCCAACTGAAGAGGACATTCTGCACGCCTTCTTGGTATAGCAAAGGAAACTGTCATGTGAAAGCAAGCAAAAAATGAGGAACAAGTAAACATTCTTGAATATCAAGGACATGTCTAAACAGTTTCTGGTAAAAACTAAAAAATTTCAGTAGCTATTTAGAATTTTTACCCAATGAGAAATCTTTAAGAGGAATCATTTTAAAAAAAATTTCCTTTTAAGATTTAGAAACAGGCTCGTCACTGTATATGGTGGACGAAACATCTAGCACTGACTTGGAAGAAAATTAAATTAACGTCATATTAGATAAAAGGAGTACCTTTAGACAAAATCTGGCAGACACGTCTTGATCAAAAACCCCTAGAGCAATCACTGGTAATGACGTGAAAAATACATTGTAAAGGGACAAAAACCAGTCATTGTATGCAGGTTGTCCGGAAAATGATGTATATGCCTCGTATAGGAAGACGGTGACACCGAATGTGACATTCTTATAGAAAAAGTAGCATATCTGCACCAAAAGGTACTTGAAAATCAAACAATGCCATATGCAATGTAATGTAATTCACGGATCATATATTAAACATGTGTATCTCATTATAAAGCCTTGAAGTTAATTACCATTGAAGAGATTCTTCTGTAACACCAATGTCCATGCACCAAAAGCAGGCGCTCAAGAAATCTAAACTGAGCAATTGCAATATCGCTCGACATGACGGCCTGATACATGTTCAGACGAACAGTACAAAATGTGAGGCAAATCATACTCATTATATTAAGCTTTCTGAATAAGGAACATTAAACGATTAGCTTTTGCACCTGCATTCCTTCAACTCCACTGATTCCGATTCCGATATCTGCTTCTTGAAGCATCCCTACGTCGTTGGCCCCATCACCAATTGCCAAAGTCATCTTCTTGGTTCCTTCTTTAACGAGTCTTGTTACCTTTGGATAATGAAAGAAATTTTACTAGTTGAACAGAAATTCAGAGTTCTACGAAGAGAAGAAATTGGTGAGAAATGAGTGAGTTTAGACTGTTACTCAGTTAATAGGATATAAACTCACCAATGCCTTCTGTATAGGCGATGAACGGCAGCATATCACCGAAGCACAGCCAATTGCAAGTTCGAGAAATAATTTTTTCACATCATCTTCTAATGCATATGCAAGAGATTTCCCATCAATGATCAAGGCAAATGAGGCAGAGCTTGATGCAGCAACCCGAGCCTTCCCTTCAGCAATCTGGCAGAGGACACTTTCCTTTGAAGCCTAATGTGAAAACAAAATCACGCCCTTTCAATACCACTTTTGACACAGATCATAGAAGGCTGATGAAATTGTATAACAAGCTGATCTCGAATAACGATTCTCTCTTATAGTTCTTACTTCTTAGTGTAAATTAGTTTTTCGCTTTGGCCATTAAAACGATAGCAAACGTTTAAGGAGGACATGGATTTACCTTGGCAATAGCATCCTTTTCTCCCGTTTTTCCCACTGCAAAGTTCTCTGTAGTATCCAAGTTTACGATAATCTGTTTCATTCCTTGTCTGAGCAAGCTACATGCATAACTGCAGAGGTTTCAATCAGATATTTTGGAAATTTAATGTAACCTCGAAATATTTTTACAACAAATGGTACAAATATATATACCCAATATTAATGGCAGTTTCCATCTTATCCCCAGTCAAAACCCATATTTTTATTCCTGCTTGTGCAAGCTTGTCAATGCATTCTGGAACCTGCAAGGAAAAAGAATTTTAGAAAAAAAATCAATATCCGCTTCGTGATTTCTAAAAACTAGCTTATGACTTTTCTACAAGAATGTCTTAAAACTCACCCCCTGTTGAAGCTTATCTTCAACGGCCGTTGCACCAAGAAGAATCAAATCTTTTTCTATTTTTTCCGCCACTTCATCAATCATTGCCTCACGATCTGCACTGACTGAGTTCTTGGCCTCTGAAAAATTTCCGTTCAACTCCATATATTCTTCTTCACTGAGTTCCCGATAAGCAAGAATCAAGGTCCTCAATCCTACCCCAGCATACTGATTTACATGATCCCTAGTTTCCTCTTCATACTCTGTTCCATTTTTGGCAAGCCTCTCAAACATAATACTGCAATTAGACCAAAAATAGAGCAAAAAACATGCCAAAGAAATAAATCATCAGAAACGGTGGAGGATGTGAATTGTAAAGCTTCAATAAGCAACAAAGAAGAGAGAACAAACCTGTCGGCACCTTTGCAGAGTAATAACAGCTTCCCCTCTTCATCTCTTACTATCACAGACATTCGCTTTCTTGAACTGTTGAATTCTAAAACATTTAACAGTTTGTATGATCTGCAGCAACCAGAATTCTGTTTAAGAACATGTTCGACAATTTTTCGATTGAACGTATTTGAATAATATGACATGTCTGGGAACATGAACAGGACTCTGAGATTTCTTCCAGTACTAGTTATAAGTCCACAAGTCAAGCCTTAGCTTAGCAATCTGGGACACAATGAGTCGTTACAGAAAGGATGCTCCCGATGAAAAGAAAAATAAAATGCCGACACACACGAGATACTGACCTTTCAACTCTTTTGCCTGACACAGGATCCAACTCATTCAATGATACACTCGTTTGCGTTCGTTTGAAGAATTCAAAGCCAAGTTCTCTTGCTGCAATAACAAAAGCTGCCTCATCTGGTGACTCGGCTTCATATAAGACCATCCCCGTGTCTTCATCTATGTCAGGTATGACCGTGTGACAGATTGCCAGTATGCAAAAGAATTTCTGAATAACGTCTGAATGGGGCTCATTTACCCATTTCCCATTCATGATCCTTTCATCATCAAAATTGAAACCTTTGATAAAAGACTTTTTATCTTTTCCATTCACTATCAAGGGAGATTCTATTCTTTTTGAAATCGCATTTTCAACATCTGTGACACCATTTCCGTAAGCAGTACCAGCCACGGAGAACTTGATGAATTCCATTGAATTGCAAGTCAATGTGCCCGTCTTGTCAGAAAGTATAGTATCAACTTGGCCTAATTCCTCATTCAAGTTCGAGGTACGGGCATGTGCTGGTTTGTCAGCTTCCTCACAGTACATATGAATGTCTTGATTGATAAAGATGCTCTGAAGAACTTTAACAATTTCTATCGATACATACAGAGATATCGGAATCAAGTAGCTATACAGTAACAAAGCCGTGAGAAAGTGAAATACAGCAGCAATAGGAGCTCTCTTCGGATCAAAGAAAGCATTGGCTTTGTCTGCTCGGAGGTACCACCTTTTATTTCCACCTTCTAAGTCATGTTTTGTTACAATGCCAAAGTAAACTGATCCAGAAAAAGCCATTACAAACAGAACACAAAATAAGAAGTAGACGATCATATCCATTTTCTTTTCGATTTTGCTTCTCTTGGAAGGAGGATCTCTAGAGTTCATAACAACCTTTGTATCATGTCCAGTGAAGATAACAACTCCATATATGTAATCTGTGTTCCGCAGTTTCGAATCTCTAAGCAGCAATTGTTGAGGTGAAAGAGGATCTAGTAGTTTTTCAAGTTCCATACTTCCAATAAAACTGTACAAGTTAGCATTTGGATCTTCACATTTAACTACGGCCCGAAAATCATGAAAGTCCTCGTCCTCGTTTAAGGATGAAGTCACTTTTAATGCTTGTTTGAGTTTCAAATTTGTCTCTCCGTCAAGGTTCATGGTCTCTACATAGCAGAATGCATCTTCATAATTGGACGAAAGTAAAACTAGGTCTGCCGGAAAGAATTCATCCTTCTCCACCTTAACTATCTCGCCCACTTTTAGATTTCTCCATTCCGTTCGTTCAAAAACTCCACCACCTCGATGTACCTTGACTTTTCTATTGTTCACCTCATTATCCTGGAAATTTTACATGTGCATAAATATAATCCCATTGACTAAAATAATCGATGCCCATTAAACCCATATAGCAGAGTCCTAATGTGTATGGAAAATCATTTAAAAACAACAAATTTGTAAAATTTCAAAATCGAAAGTATTATTACAAGAAGATATTAGGAATTCATTGGATGCTAGAAACCCGTCGAATTGTTCTTTTTTATTTTTTTATTTTTGAGCCAAGACAGTTAACATCAGTTACAATTCTTAAACTCAAATATAAGCTAGCTAAAACAGAGGAAAATTTGTTATGGATTCCGATAGTAATGATAATCAACACGAAATCACAAACACGCAAAGAAATAACACAGAGCGATCCGGTCCACCTTATCGTGAAGGTCGATCCACAGTTGACGGCAAAAGAAAAATATGATTAGGCTTTATATTGGTCAACAAAATGGGAAGAAAAAAAATAACAAGATTAATCTTCAAAAATACCTGTTGCTTTCGCCTCCAGTCTTCAATACCTTCCTTCACCATGGTTGCCCCAATAACTATCATCAAAGGAATAATGGCACTAACAGCAGAATAAGGTGCAAGCGATGTGAAGGCCAAGATTCCAGTAACAAGAAAGTAAAAATTAGCCACTCTTCTAAACTGCTCAAACAGAGATTTGGGCAAGAAATTTGCTGCAGTATACTTAGTTGTCCTAACATAATTGGTTGAATGATTCCTAGGACTGACCTTCAAACAATCTGGATTATTACAATACACTATTCTAGAAAAACCTGGTCCTCCAATCTGATTATGATCTTCTTTAAATGCTCCTTTAACACAATTGAATGAGTAGATATTGCTGAAATGCAGCCTTTTTCTTTTAGCAGATCTCATTCTACTTCAAACCCTCAAATCCAAATCTTTAGTTCTTTTATTTCCAACACCAAATGCGCAGGTTTCTTCAAGAAAAGTTATTTTATCAACTCAAAACCCCCACACAAAAAAAATCCCTAAAAAATTTAAACTTTTATCCCTAAAGACCAAAAAGATCAAAATTTTGATTGTCAAAATGAGCATTAAATATTTTTAAGAATGAAAACAGAGGTTGAAGAAACGAAAGGAGACTCAAAGAAAGAAAAGAAGGCCTCAGTAGAAACAGATAATGCCAAATGAAAGGTACAACCAACAAATCCAGCCAGTACAACTGTTAAAAAAATAATTATATATGTGTGTGTGTGGTGCATGAAGAAGGTTGTGAGCAAGAGGAGGGAAAATATGAAGAATTTATTCAGGTACTCGTTAACTTTTCTCATGCCCAGAAGGACCTGAACATTGACTTGGATCTTCTCTCTCTGATTGTTTGACTTGGAGTCGTGTTTTGGCACACGCGTATTGGTTTCAAGAATGAAGTGACTTCCAAAAGAGGCAGTATTCTTCAAAACACGACCTTTTATAACGACTGAGTCTTTGTTTGATTTTAATTTCCAAGTGAGTTTTTAAAAAGTGATTTTTTTTAAAAGAATATATGATTAAAAAGTTAAAAAATTATCAATTCATGTATAAAATTATTTTATTAAGAAAATGTACAATTCAAAATAAGTTTGAAAAAATCAAAATAACGAAATGACTTAATATAAAATTAAGAGTAAATTGTACGAAATATAATGAACGTGGAAATGAAGGAAAGATTCGTGAGGAAAAAAAATCGTTACAAGAATATTTGTGTAATTTTCTTGATTTTTGTTTATGGCCTAGTTGTAAATTTTTCTTCTTTCCACGAAGGAGCTTTACGAAGGAAAAGATCAAATATACACACACCAATTTATTATATTGATGATGTAGCTGATATTGACTGATTTAACTGAGTAAACAAAACTGATGAAAAGGAATAAAGTTTATTTATTGGGATTTTAGGGAAAAAAAAATGTAATTATTCTAAGGGAGACTTCCACGTGTGTGCGCGCGCGTGTAGATTTAGAGTTAATTAATCGTTCTACAGGTTAAGACAACTAATTTGGTAGGATTCTTATTGCCTTAATCATTTTAATAATCGAATAAAGTATTGTTGAGATTTTTTTCAACGCATTTTAATTAGTTCCCGTTTATGTTTATGTTTATGTTTATGTTTATCCCTCCGTGCGGAATTACTTGTTTATGATTTTTGTGGCCTTTGATCTTACACGGGGATAAATTAAACAGATTCATAATAGGTATAAATCATTAATATCATATGTAAAAGTCAAGTTCATGAAGCCCACAAAGTCTCTTTTATTTATTTTTTAGGAATTGAAAATTGTGAATTTCATTTTCAAATTGATGAAAACAGGTTAACTACTATGGCAAAGAAAACAAAATAGATTTCAAATCATTTATTTAATAAATAGATAAGTACAATTTTTTGGTCTATTCTAAATTTCTAACTACTCTATTTTCTACTTGTATCGTCAAAGTTTGCTACTCCATCCCCATTTCTCAACTGGCAGAAAATGGGGGAACCCGACTTTTCAACATTATTATTGACACGTTCAAACTGAACGTGTTATTAATTAAATTATAAGAAACATGTAGTTTGATAACGTGAAGTAGATAACATGGAATAATATAAATTTTTTAAAAAATTAAAATTTTATTCATTATACTGTTCATTACGATTTAATAATGTACACTTGAAGTATCACACTCGATTTAAAGGATGAACCGCATCTTTAGCGGCCCCCACCTACCCTACCCTACCCTGGGCCTTGGTGAAGGAGGTAAATCGTAGGTTATGTCTCCAAGGGTATAGGGTGGAAGGCTACTTGTACACTTGTACTTATCTAAGAGTCAAATTCATATTTCAGGATTCGAACCCTTAACGCGATAGCCTCAAGCAAAGATGGAGTTCTTCCACATTCCCCTTTTACCACTTGTAGATGTGCCCTGAGGACAAGTATCACACTCGATCTAGCCCATATTAAAAGTGGAGTAAGTGCAGAGCACAGTACAAGAAAAGGTACCCATCCTTGACTTGACTCGTTATGTTAACAGTTACAAAGCGCGGGCACCACGTTTCAAATCTGAACAGCATGCAGGCATATGGACCACTAGGCACGAGCCGCCCAAAACTTGATGACCAATGAATTAAGTGTGTATTACTGTGAGATAGAAAGCTATGTTATAAAAAGTCACGTAGTGTGCGTTTAATTGTGACTTTTTATTTGTTTTTTATCAACAGTATGTAACTTATGGTGACTTACAAGTTGTAGAATTTTTTATTTTTTATTTTTATATCAAATTTTCGTATTTCCACCAATTTGTAGCGAGCTAGTGATATCGAAACATAACAAACTGTTTGAAATAAGTGAGATCGAGAATTAATTAACAATAAATAAGAGATTTTCTAGATTTATTTTTTATTTTTTTGGTGGGGTGGGGGTCCAACAATGATATATTAATTAAGAGAGAATTGAACTTGAAATAATTATAGTAGAGAAGGGGACGAGGGAGAGGGTCCTTTAGATAAGTTTGATTTAACGATAAACACTATTATATGATACAAGAAATTAAAAATTTAGACTTTCAAGTCGTGATTAATACGAATTGACAAATACTACTTATTTAGTGACAAATTTTATAAATTATTTATAAATAGTTAAACTTCATTTTCAACCATATATTCTAATGAATCCACAAATAATATTCACAACTCATTTTTATCTTTTCAAACTAAACCGTTTATGCGAGGTTAGGGGCAATTTAGGGGGCCTAGCCTGGAAGCCCCAAACCCATTTAATTTTTTTTATATAAATAAAAAAAGTTAAATGTGAAAAAGGAAATAATATTGTTTTTTTTTTTTTTTTNTCAGTCCAGTTTTTTTGAAAAAATTAATTCAGTCTATAAGCTCTTGTGCAAGACGAAATGATAAGATAAATTAAAAGTGCAGATATGGGATCCACTTTATTAATTTTATCATTTATTACTACATCACACGGGGATCATCTCCCGCGTATCACTATTATTTGTGAATTCTTCACAAGCCTAATAAGATAATATTAATCAGTGGTCAAATAACTCGTTGAATTAACTTTTTCATTTTTTGTTAATAAGATTTATCTTTAAAATCGATTGACGAAGTACAATTTGTAAATAAGTCAATATGTGTTTTTAGGATAATTTATAGAACCTAAAGTAATTGTAATGTGCTACAACTACTGCTCTAACCAACCACTTTATGGAGAAAACACGTGGCAATAAACCTAGACTCAAATCTATTCGAAAGTTGTTGTCGATTTATAGGACGATTGATCCTACGTTGTCTAGTAGGTCTTGATCCTAAAACATTCTTGCCATTGGATTCAGAATTAGCAGCATTCCTAATTTTGTTGGTGGTTGGGACGAACGTGATCTTGAAAGTACTAGTAGTAGTATTACCACTTTGAACATATCCTAAACCGTGCCTATTTTCAGCAGACTTGTTCATCATAATAGATTATCAAATTTCTGAGTACCACTCATGAATGAATGAAGTTGAGTATTAGATTTTTCTAGATCACTTGTTAAGCATTTAACTTCAACTTCTAGATTCTCATTAATAAGCCCCTATTTGACACACATTTTATTAAAATACATTCTTTCAAAATTCATTTTCAATCACACATTTTTCAATAAAATAATATTTTACATCACATCAATAATTTTTTCTTACTTTTTAAGGACATATTTCTCATCAGATCATTATTTAAAATACATTATTTTCGCAATAATATTCATCAAACACACCCAAAGTTTCAACTCACCAAAATTTTTGGTAGAATCCTGAAGGTCACTTAAGAGTCTCTCTCTCTCAAGTTCATTAACCCTTTTTAGTACATTTTTATTGACATTCTTGATTTTAAGACTATCTTCAAATAACGTCGATAAGACTCATGAATATTGGTTTCATCCTCAGGGTCATCCTCAGAATTCTCACTATATTCATCATTCTCCACCGTTTCACTCTCCTTATCAGATTCAATCTTAACTATAGACGTGAAAGTTTTAAAATTTTATTCATCCTCACCACCAGAGGTATTACTCTGAACACTCGAATTTGGTTCATCATCACTCAAAGTCCCTGCTAATGCATTACTCATTCCTTTATTCAAATTTTTCTTCAAATTAGGACATACATTCCTATAGTAGGGATGTCAATGGGGCGGGTATGGGACGGGTTGATCATTCCCACCCTAGTTCCGTAGGGTTTTTTTGTTACCTTATCACATTCCCATACCCAATTAAAACGGGACGAGACGGGTTCGAGACACGTCTTTTGCCCCATTTATCGCCCCATTTATTTTTAACTTTCAACTTTTTTTATGTCTTTAGTTAGTAAATATTATTACTTTTTTACCAATTTAATAAAAACAACTTATGTTCTCTTAAAAAATGATGATAAATATATTATTTTTGTTTGATAAAAAACTTAAATTTGAAATTAACTTTAAATAGGGTAGGTAGCGGTGTGGAGACTATGTTTCTCGTACCTGTCCCATACCCGCTTCAGGGCAATGACCTGCGTCCCGGTCCCACCCTGTTTACCCGATTAGGCAGGTAATCCCCGCCCCATTTGGGGTGGGACCCTACGGGTATCGGGTTCAATGAATTTTTTTGTCATCCCTAGACTTATAGTGACCACAACCCTGACACTCATAGCATCTAATTGATTGGGTTTTCTTATTAGAAGTCATAGGGTTATTCTTTTCAAGCTCATCTTTTGAGAATTTACTAGGAACATCATTTTTCCTATCGTGAGGTTTTCTTCTATTCATCATCGCCTTCTGGAATTTCCTCATGAAATAAGCTATTTCGTCGTCCGTAAGGGTCTCAGTGTCAGTAGACTCACTCTCTTCTTCTCTAATGCTGTTCATGACTATAGA